GAGGGGCATGAGTGGGCTCCCCCGCAGCGGCCGGGGACGGGTGCCTTGCCCCGGGCAGGGTGGCGGGGGAGCGAGAGGGCAGGGCTTGCCGCCACCTCCGCCTGGAGCCACCCCAAACCCTTCCCCAGCGCGGGCACTGCGGTCCTGATGGAAACGCTGCTTGCTAATGTAATCACGTATTGTGCGCCCTTTTTGCTCGCTTGCTCTCGGAACCGATGTAAATCCTCTGCTGAAAGTTAGATGCGATTTGGTGCCCGCCACTGAGGATCTGACTGCTGGAGGGGAGAAAAAAAAAAGGAAAAAATACCCCCAAATAACCAACCAGTGGTCTGCAGTGTGCAAGGTGTGCAGACAAATGCAATCAGTTGGAGAGTTTATACCAAAAAAGGAGCAGAAAGGATCTGTCAAATGCTACCAGGGGTATGCGGTGCCACCTCAGTTTTCTCCCTATACCCTGAAAGCAGCTGATTGTTTGCTCACTCAAGATGTCCCACTGACAATATCAAACTTGTTCAATTTATTTCATCACTTACTGACATGCCAGCTCGTCACTGTTTGAAACCCTGGTCATGCTTTCTCCCTCCGTCAGCTTTGTCTTATTGACAAGACAAAAACACCTTTCAGCAGCCCAAACAGGGCAGTAACAAATAAAATAAAAGTGGCAAAAGAAAGCTTTGGTAAAAATATGGGGTTGGCAGTAGGAATCGACAGAAAGTCAGGGACTAGAGAATCAGGTGAAAATATTTTTGAGAAGAAAGGGATGCTGCATTCTTTGGCTGAGCTACATCCTCATGCCTGGATTTATGGCAAAGAAGGGATAAACGTGTGAGATTTGCCTTCCCTTTCACCATTCTACTACAGTGTGTAAATATGATAAGCTCTTATTTTGCACTGAAAAAAAATATGAGATTTTGGAGCACCTGACAGTCCTGGGACCTCACCAAATCTCTACCCTCGTGATATATACGAGCATAGTTCTGTGTGTAGGTACATGGGTTGAAGGAAAAAGGCTCAGTGGAGTTCTAAACTTCTGCATAGCCTTGTCTGTGCAAGTTATGGTGGATCTCTTATGTTTTTAACCTAAAAGTGTATTGATGAGGAATCCCTTCCTGCAACCTGTGCTGAGGCTAGTAGCTGATAACTGATTATACTGCTGAAATCTGCAGGGTAAGCTTGTACGAATAGCGGGCACATCTCAGCTACATATTTTGTGGTGTTTCACATCTCAGACTTACACTATTAACTGTACAGTAAATGTAGACTAAACGGTATAGCATAATTCTGATCAGTTTAGTTGGAGGGGAAACACCTTTCAGCTCACCATGCACTCAATCTGTTGCTTTAGCAAAAAGAGTTTGCACTGAGAAATTCTTTGGGATATTGAGTGGGAGGCAAGCAAATGGAAAGGGCTCAGTCACCTGCCAGTAGAAAACCCTCCTTTTCAGTTAGGAAATCACACCTGAGATGTCAGTGACAGATAGTTAATGGGGACAGAAGTAGGATTGAAAATTTAAGATGAAGTGGATCTGATTTAAAAACAAACAAACAAAATACACAACAACAAAAAAACATGAATAAAATCATGAAATCATGAATAAAAATCATGAAAAAAAGCATGAATAGCTAGACTGTTCAGGCAGACCTGAATTTGAGTTGGATTAAGCTATGTGTTAACACCTGATGTCATTTCTTCTCTACTCTTGCTTTCTTTAGGGAATGTCTGAATGGGGAAGTAGAGTCAGTAACTCAGGTTTAGCTTTCCCCTCAGTGGCAAGTGGTCATTTCCTGATAAGCCCACTGGGCACTGGCAATTTCTTAGTATTTTCCCAAGGACTCAAGCCAAGGAGTCCCTGGGTGTACAGTGCTCACTTAGCACTGTATGGTCTGGGCTAGTCTGCACAGAGATTTGCGCATTTTATGTAGGACTGAAGTGCAAGTTCAGCAATTAACTATAAACCATCTGTATGTCCATCCATGACTACTGAAGTCTTAGAGCAGCATAGAATTTGGCTCAGCCTGTGTAAGGAAGGCAATAAAATGTGATTTTTATGCTAGTGGTGAAATTCTTACTAACATCAGCGGGGGAATGATTTGCTCTTCTATTTGACTGCAGTCAGAAGTGAATCCCTGATTGGCAGCCTCCAAGGAGCTGTGTTTTCTCAAACGTTACACCGAAAGGAAATATTATGTGTAACTGAGTTTTAATTGTTTCTTGAGTTAATTTCAGCATGAACAGGTTACACAGTCATTTCAGAAATATGCTATTATTTCAGTTCTATTAGTGTGGTATTTTTACTTGCCTCATGGCACAAACTTTCCTGAAAGAAAGTTTCTTAAAGACAGACCTGAATAATTAGTTCTCTGGTATTAAGGAGGAGCATAGATCTGTAAGAATTTAGTAAGTATTTAAAAGAAACACTTTCCATTAAGGAAAAGCTGGAAGATTATTATGCTAATAACAGTCTGGATGGTGCCATTCCATGTAGAATTCCCATAGGTATTAATGGAAATTTTGTGGTAAATCAGCAGTGATTTTAGGTAGTGGATTGTAAAAAAGAGTATACTGCCCAGCAGGACCTTAATCCTTCTGCATTTACTTAGGCAAACTTTGTCTTTGAAATGCTTTTGAAATCCGTCCCTGCAGGAGTCAGGCCTGAATAATATTACGGGATCGGGCTTCAAATGTAAGGGCAACAGAATTTACATATATTAAGACAGATCTTCTCTCAGTCCTACGGTGTAGAACATGAGTTAAAGGAGGAAAGAGCTGTAGCTTCAGCTTCTTACTTCTTGTCTTAGGCACCACAGACTAATTTCTCCACATGTTCTTGTACTGCTTTTATTTTCAGGGACAGATCTGTTGCTCGGACGAAGCTGCTGCAAGGATGGGGCCCCTGGAAGCAGTAGGTGAAGAAAACCAGACAGATGACATGAAGATGGAGCTGTTCACCAAGCTGTACTTGCCGAGATACACCACACCGCTCAATGAATTGGCTCTGGACCCTAAACCAGAACTGAAGGACAGCACAACGCTCGTCGAAGTGCAGATAATCCTCATCTTTGCTTACTGCTCCATCATCCTGCTGGGGGTGATTGGAAACTCTCTCGTGATCCATGTGATCATCAAGTTCAAAAGCATGCGCACAGTGACTAACTTCTTCATTGCCAACCTGGCTGTGGCTGACCTGCTGGTCAATACGCTGTGCCTACCCTTCACTTTGGTTTACACGCTGTTGGGTGAGTGGAAACTGGGCCCGGTCTTGTGCCACCTGGTGCCTTATGCCCAGGCTCTTGCTGTGCACGTGTCTACCGTTACTTTGACTGTGATTGCTTTGGATCGGCATCGCTGCATCGTCTACCACTTGGAAAGCAAAATCTCCAAGCGGATCAGCTTCCTGATTATAGGAGTTGCCTGGGCAGTCAGTGCCCTGCTGGCAAGTCCTCTGGCCATCTTCCGTGAGTACTCGCTGATCGAGATCATTCCTGACTTCAAGATTGTGGTCTGCTCTGAGAAGTGGCCAGGGGAGGGGCAGCTCAACTACGGCACCATCTACAGCATCTCCATGCTGCTGATCCAGTACGTGCTGCCTCTGGCAGTCATCTCCTATGCCTACGCCCGAATTTGGACCAAGCTCAAGAACCATGTTAGTCCTGGGGCGGGGAATGACCACTACCACCAACGGCGACGGAAGACCACCAAGATGTTGGTGTGCGTGGTTGTGGTTTTCGCTGTCAGCTGGCTGCCGTTTCACACCTTCCAGCTAGTCAGTGACATTGACAGTCAGGTGTTAGACCTGAAAGAGTACAAACTGATCTACACAGTGTTTCATGTCATTGCCATGTGCTCAACATTCGCTAACCCCCTTCTCTATGGCTGGATGAATAACAACTACAGGATGGCCTTCCTCACGGCCTTCCAGTGCGAACAGCGGCTGGACTCCATCCACCCTGAGGTATCATCAGCTTTCAAAGCCAGGAAGAAACTAGAAGCAAAGAAGATTCAATTCCCTGGAGACTCTTTCACACAACCTACCAATGTCTAAGGTGTCTGACTTTAAAGGAGAAACGAGTATGTTGTGGACAAAGGGATGAATCCATTTTGGCACATGCATTTTTAATGCATAGTTTTACTCATAAGTAGCAGGGAAGTCAAGGCAGGTGGTATGATTTGAGAGGAGTTGATTGGCATCAAAAGTATGTAACTATACAACTGCAAGGAAATAAAAGGGAGAGACTTTGTTTATGGCTGTCTCTAACAGGGTAAAAGACGCTCCCATCCCTCCCATCACTTTCTGACAAATCTAAATGACAAAAGCAGAATTTGGTGGTTTTGATACAGAAAGGCAAACAGATAATTTGTAGCACAAGAATATTGATGTTGGAAGCAGGTAATTTTTATACTGGATATTAAGATCAGGAAGAGCAGGAGTCTGGCAGGAGAATGAAGACTGTCTAGGGGGAATGGCCTGTGCTGGTTAAAGCTCAAACTTTTCAGACCCCTTCTCTCCCACAGGCATCTTTTACAAAGATAAGGGAATTAAGAAGAGAAGTATGTTACTGTTTTCTTGACTTGTACTGAAGTACAGAGCATTTGAAAAGGATTAAGGGAAAAAAGAAAATATAAGCAAAAATCCACACAAAAATAAATCACCCAAACCACAGATGCAAAATGAAGGAAGGTCAAGTTTCTACATAATATGAGTTTTAGTCAATCAAATGGGGTAATAAGTCATTCCTTAAGAATTGGCTGTGCTTATGCTGGTGAGAAAATCATGAGCCTGTGACCTGATCAGTCATTCCCTGCAGATCCCTACCTTTCATGCTGCTCTGGGAACAGCTCACAAACGCAGTGCTGAGAAGTGGCATTTGAGGGCAGAGGTTGCAGGCTCAGGTCTTCTGTGAGCACTTCATAAACCACCAATATTTTAATTTTCAAGACCTGCTTAAATGTCTAATGTATTATTAACTCCACAGGCTTTGAATTGTTGCTGCTTTCTCCTTGGATAATAAAAGAGCAGATAATTTTCATCCTCTGGAAGGGCTGCTCGATGGTAATGTGCTTTTTCTTATTGCAGTTTTATGTCACACACTCATCTTGGAGCTTTTCCCATCTTTAGCCTTTGTAAAAATTAAGAGCATCTGAATGATTGTAAACTAGTAACAGTATGCTACATATATGTGACAACTTATCAGTTATTCTGCATGCTGTAGTTAATAGTAGTTAAATTCTTTTTTTTGCTCAGGAATGAAAGTTTAATCTGTTTACTGTGTTGTACGCAGCAATGTTCAGCTCTTTTATGTCTTTGTTTAGCCTCTTTGAACTCATTAAAGAGATGAAGAAAATTTCAATTCGTATTTATTCCAAGCTGCCCTGTTGCTTATCTAGCACAAAAATAAGTGTGATACTTTCACCTGGAATCTCTTTCCACAGCTACATTTCAGCTGTCTCATTTCTTTTTCTGTCTCCATTTTCGGTTGTCCCTTAACTAATCGTCTTCTCTCTTACAGACTAAAATCCAGCAAAACTCCCGTACTGAATTGCTAGCAATGTAATGAATGGCATCAGATCTTTATCAAGTGGAGAAAATAATCTTTGTGTTTGCAGTATTTGTCACCATCTTTTAAATATCCATTAAATCATTTGGACTTGGATTTTGATGAACAGAGAAGGGAGGTCTAGAGAATTAGCTAGTGTTTACTGAAGCAGGAAAAAGTATCCATCATTCTCAAACAGTTTTACAAAAATAGATTAATTCTCAACCATGTTGAGAACATGATATTGTCCACAAGTTATTTTTGTCTGAGTATTAATAATATCCGAAATGTAAGCTCAGAACTGTTATGGGTGAGGAAGGATTACAGAAGAAGTGTGCAATTATTATGCACATCAGTCATATGTATCAGTTACAGTTGACTCTGAACCCTTCATCAAAAGTACTATTGCCACAAATAGCCTCCTTTATTTAAAAAGCAAATGGTTTAAAAGTTCTGTTTCAACTCTTATAAGCCTGTTAGAGTGTGGTATATAGACAGTTTTGAAGTGACCATGACAGCACATGCTAAATCTACTATTGCTGGGCTAATACTCTGTAATTTTAAGTCTACTTTACATCATCCTGTATAAAAGTGATTAATTACAAAGTATCTTTCAGTCTGTTTCATGGCGCCTTTCTTTTACTGCTTCCTAAGCTTTTTCTGCAGCCATCATGTTGAGCCAAAGCTGATGCACTGATTTATTGTTTTGCTTTCCCCTCTGCCATGTGGAGGTGGTGCCTGGGTCAGTCCCTGCTTTATGGTCACAGACTTTTGCACTGTGTCCCACCACAGGTGTGGATTTTCCCACTGGCGCTAAAGGATGGGATGTGGAAGAGGGGGAGTGTGTTGTATGGCTTAGTTGAAAATTGGCTCCTGCACAAACACATCTACACGCTTTAGTACTCCTTTGTGTTGTAGGAAAATTAGGTGTTTTCTCACTGAAAGCAATGAGGTAGCAACATGCCTCAGAGTTATGCCAAATCCCAGCTGTCAGAAGGATGTGGAAACTCAAGGTTTATCCCCATTTTCCCCCAAGGGAAGGTGAACCTGTAAGCAGGCTCGAACCACTGTACTGAGGAGTCTGCAGGAGAGCCTCTGCTTTGCCTGTAATAGAAACCAGATTCCCTCATGCACCTATTAGTGCTTTAATTATTTTTTTTTTAAAGCCATATATGATTTTCTCATTTAATAGGTACAAGTTTTATACATAGCCAAAGAACACCAGTAGCAACCCTCTTTGAAGAATTCACTGATTCAGGGCAAGAATTTGAACCAACACACCAGTTCTCAGCAGAATGACCTAGCCAGCACACCTCAGCCTCACCTGAGGGGTCTTCTTAGAGCTGTTCTATTGTATATAAAATAATTAAACATTGACTATCATGATTTTTATGAGCAGATGGTTGTGACCTTTGCGTGGTGGTCAGATTCCAGGCCCAGGATATAAAACCACATATAGACAGAATTTAGTTTAGTTGTCCCGCCCTCCATTATTCATGAGTGCTTCTGCTATAAAGATTCTGTGGTCCAGACAGGAGGAGAGCAAAGAGAGTAGTACTGTTCTAATCTCTGGGTGGGTGAGAGAGTGTGACTGAGCAGAAAGTATATCACTGTGAATCTGAAAAAAAAAAAAAAGAATTGAGGGCATAACCTATTAAAACAGAAGGACTAAATCTGAGTTTGGTATACATATCTGTTATGTATATGTATCTATTATTACATAAATTGTACAGAAGAGCTGTGCAAAAGCTATTTGGTAGGGTTGCTGGAAATAGATGTTTGTTGCTCCACAGTTGATATAACCATGTCTTGTATAAAACGTGTAATGGACACACATATATTGCCAAAATATTAATGACTTGAGTTAGATAACAGTAAGAGTAATAACTGAATGGAAAATATTATCTGCAGTTTATCCGTCAGACCACAAAAGAAACACTGAACTCACAGCTTAATATAATCCATTTCTTTGCTTCATAATTTCTTAACTCCCTCAGGGTTTTTTCTTACACTAATCCAGATAATGACCTTAAGGGATGAATTTTGTCTCTGAGTACCTGAATTATTTACCTGGTACTGTCATTTTAAATGCCACTCCACAATAAGGGAGCTACTTTGTGCCAAATTACAGGCTCCTTGCCCTAAGAAGCTGGGAGATACATGTCAATCTGTGCAAGATTAGTATTACTGAAGAGCCATGTTATTAATTGCCATGTTATTAATATGCTTATTTATGCAATTGATGATGATTTTCCTACCTCCACTTAAAAATATTAAATATTAGTTATTTAAAAGAAAATTAATAAAAGGGCAGTGAGGAAATCTGGAGCTGCTAAAGCTGGAGAAGAAAGAGGATGAATGGCTACTTCAAGAAGGAAGAAAGAGCATGCAAGAGTGGGGCTAGTGAGGATGTAATTGATTTATAGACTTTCCTTCTTCCCTTAGTCTGAGCAATGAAAGAAACGTGTTATAATGAAACTAGGGCAAATTAAGACACAGATCAATTATATGCACAAAGGACAGTGCTGCCTGGGGAAACTGAGGAACCTAGAGGAGAAATTCCCGTGATCATTTGAGCCTTGAAATTCACATAATGTTCTCAAGCAAGTAAACCTGTGTCTGCACATTGTTTCACCTAAATGCAATGTAGAACAGCTCTCTACTGATAAGGTATCAGAAGCAATAGATGTGTTATTAATTCTAGCCACTACATGGGATGAATAATGCCAATGTACTCCTCATAAGCTCATTTCAGATGAGATATGTGAAAAAAACGGTGTTGTGTTAAAATTTTTCCCTTCTCAGACTTCACTGAGTTCCTCTGAAAGGAAGAGAGCTTCAAGCTATAAAACTTAAAAGACTGTGGGATTACATATCTGATGATGGAGGCACAATTTAGCTTGAAAACATTAATTTTTTTTTTTCTGATACTGCATAGGAAAAACAGGCTGTAGTTTACCTCTTGGATCTGGAGGTGAATTTGCACAACTGGAGTTTATATGAAACAGGCTTTTATTTGTATACTTCACAACTCACATAATCTTCTAACTCTGCTATAATGGATATTCTCAACAGTGGAGTCTATGCTTACGCATCCATGGGGTCAAACTATCTCTATTCCTTCAAGGTTGCACAGAAAAACAAAAGTCTAGGATAATTTTCCTATTTACTGGCATCCTCCAAAATTAGAGATGCTTGTACCCAATTGAGTTTTAAAGCTTGTTTTCATTTATTTAAGGTAACCAAGCTGACGAAGCAGCTAACCTTGATCTCATTGCACGCTGGCTCGGCACAAGCCCGTCCTAGCCGTGCACAGCTACAGTCACTTGCCCGTTCCCCACCAAAGCGAACCTGAAGACCGGAGCTGAGGCAGAAACACTCTTCCCCAGTGGATTGTGAGCATCTGGGGTGGGGAAATGAATCAGTTTTTCATTGCTTTCAAGTCTCACTGATGCTCTCTGAGGTGCCAAAAGCCGCTGGCCACTTCGTAATAATACGTGAAGGCAGC